GACAGTCTGGGGTGATTAGTTCCTGGCCTCGTCAGCTCTAGAAGACACCCCAGTGCTCCCTGAAACTAGAGCTGAGGGCCGCTGTGCTTGCCCACATTCTTGCTTGCCTCTGTCCTCCCAACTACACCAAGTAAGTCTCTTTAGGGAGGAAAGATGTAAACTGGTAGCCTGTGATTCTCCAAGTGCACTCCCTAAAAGAGAGAACACTGGTGTGCTGGCAGCCTTTCAGGCAGAGAGGTGAGTCATGAGGAAAACGTTACATGTTAAGTGCATCTGATTTCAGCAATGTAAATGTGGGGGGATAGGCCTGTGGTGTAGAAACAGTCACGCCATGTGGATACAGGAAATAGGCTCAGTCTCAGCCTGATATCCTGAGATATGATATATATGGCGGTAGAGGTGGGCAGCATGTATTTACACTAATGGTACGGACTGGAGCCTCAGATTTTTTCCCCATCATCTGACAGATAGTGCCTCTTCCTACCTTAGTTTCCGTCCAGCCCCACCAGTAGGTGGAGCTGCGGTGGCGAAACCATTTCATTCATTCCTCTAACGTTTGTTGCGCCCTGTATGTGGTGGACTCCACGCTGGGGCTTAGGGATTCATCAATAAGAGATGGGAACCCTTATCCCAAGCTCCAGCTTAGTGGTGACATTCAAATAATAAGTTATTGTTGTCAAGCTAATTTAGTAACTGTGGTGAAGAAGGAAGGCACTAACCCAGCTGGGGTGAGCCAGGAGGCCCCCAGGAGGCCCTGCAGCAGTCAGCGCCATAAGCTAGGCAGCAATGCTGCAGGAAGGAAGGAGAGACAGCGATGCTGCCCGGCATCACTGAGTGCTTACCGAAGGCTGCGCCATGTGCCAAGCACTTGAAAAGGGTCATCTCTTTTGTTCCTCAAACCTCTGTGAGGCAAGGACTCTATCTTAGCTCAGGTTGCTATGATGAAGTACCATAGCATAGACAGGTACCTTATAAACAACAGAAATTTACCTCTCATAGTTCTGATGGCTGAAAATCCGAGATCAGGGTGCCAGCATGGCTGGGTTCTGGTGAGGGCCGACTTCTGGGTTGCACAATTCTCGTATCGTCACACCTCATATGGCAGAAGAGCCAAGAGAGCTCTCTGGCCCTTTTATAAGGGCACCAATGCCATCATGAGGACCTCACTACCTAATCAGCTCCCAAAGGCCCCACCTCCTAATCCTGTCACAGTGTGGGTCAGGACTTCAGCCTGTGAACTTGGGGGGACACAGACATCCAGCCCTCAGCCTAACCCCACCATCTTCATACTGCTGCTGTGGAAACGGAGGTTCCTCTGGCCACCTGCACCTCCAACGTTGCATGGACAGTGAGCAGCAGAGTCAGCACTCAAACTCAGGTCTGAGGCTGCAGTCCACACTGTTCACACTGGGTCTTCCCAAGTTCTGTAGCGTGAGGAAATAAAAAGGGTAAAAGGTGAAGTATGAATATTAGCAAGATTCATGGAAAGAACAAAGTAGCAAATGAACGTCGGGGTGAGGGTAGAAGCCACCCACATTCTCTGATGCTGTTGCATCTCGAAGGGGGTGTGGATGAAGCGGAATCTCCTGGCAGGACCACAGCTGGACCAGTGTGGGATGTCAGTGCAACAGAGATTTGGAAGCACATTGTTATCTTACGGTGTGGGTTAGATCCATGAACATCGCCTCTTGCTCCTAGCCTGTCCCCCACACGCCAGCCCTTTCTTTAAATGTGGATGCAACATAAAGGCTGGTTATAGTTTCAGAGAAACATAAATGTTCTTTTTCTTTACTCCAGTCATGCCTGGAGTGCCCCTCATTCTACCACCTCCTTCTTCCCTCCTCCCCACCACCCCAAATAAAATAAAATACAATAATAGTGGCATGCTAGAGTACCCAATATGCTCTGCGTGCAAGCTTGCTTAAACAAATCACATTGACCTTTAATAAAGATGTGCCCAATGCTTCCTTCTCTCATTCAGTATGTTAATCTTCAGGCCAAACCACCATCAGAGCAAGCATCACTAAGTGCAAATCTGATCATGCTACTCCCCTGCTTAAAACCCTTCAGTGGTTCCGCATGCCTACAGGATGAAGCTCAAACTCCCAACAGCACAGAGAAGGACCTCCCAGGTGTGGCCCGTGCTGACCCCCCAGCTTCATTTCTCACAACACCCCTCCCCCTGCATCTCACCCACTCACTCTCTGGCCACAGGGAGTGTGCACAGCTCTCTCCATCCTTAGCTCTTTTTTCTAGCATGAATGTCTGCAGAGCCCTTGACAGCCACCCCCTCCCAGCCCCACCCTAATTACCACCTATCATTAAAGATGCAGTTCAGGTCAGCTCCTCGATTAATACTTTCCTAAGTCCCACACCAAGGAAAAAATGACAACCTCTCAATGTCCCCAGTGCAGATCTATATCACTGTCTCTGTGGTTCCTTTTTGCTGCGTTCACATAAGTCCTGCTCATCCACACCTAGCTTAGTGCCTGACACATTAGTAGCCAAAGAAACAGAATCAAATGGTGGATATTCATCGTGAGCCCATTGTGCTGTAGCCTGATCTAACGCCCAAGGACCAGTGCTTTGGTGAGTGCCATGGGCACCTAGCTTTGTCGTGGAAGCATCTGACCACACAGGCCACAGTGCAGATCCAGCCCAGACACGTCCCAGTCACTGCGTCACTCTTGGGCTTGTCCCGATCCCCTGGTGTCTTGATGGAAAAGTGGAAACATTTAAGTAGAAATTGAAAGGAAGTTACTCCTCCCAGGGTTGATCTCCAAATCCAGCTTGGCCAACCCTCTCTCATGGGTATTTTGTGAACTGAGCCCTGGAGAGGTTCAGTTACCCCACCAGGGCAGCTGGAGGCTGGGAGGGGCTGTTTGGAACGGAGCAGGCAAACAGTGGTTTTTATTTACATCATTCCAAACCACTGGATCAGTTGATTTGTTCTTAATTTGGTTGACAAGTGGAAAGAACACTGAAATTCAAGTTCCCTTGGCAGAGATGGCTCTTATCAGAGAAACTTAGTAAGTAATTTCTGGAAGAAGAGATGGGGAAGGAAGGAGGCCTTTGCCCAGAAAAATGTATTGGCAGCATCAATGCTCAGGATTGAGAGGTAGGTAGAGGCTGGGCCAAGGTGCACCCATCACCACCTGCTGTTAGGGTCTACATATATTTATTTTGCCGTTTGTTGTCTGTCTCTTCAACTAGAATGAGGGGAGGCATGGCACAGACTTTGTTCACTGCTCTATCCCAGACCATAACCCTATGCCCAGCATAAAGAAATGCTGAACATCAGTGAACAGTTGATGAATGAATGAGTGACCTTGGTCTGGAAGTCATTCCAGTCTGCCGTCACCAGCTAGCTCTGTGACCTTGGGCAAGTTACTCTGCCTCTCTGATCTTCAGTTTCTTGTCAATGAGGATGTTATTATCTAGGCAGTACCCATGAAGCTCCAGCTGTATGTGAAAATCCTCTTTTACCATTATATATGGACAATACTAAGCCTGAGAGTTTATATCAACTGTTGAAGAGTTAGTCCTTTCCCAGTGGGAGTTAGACAAGTGGATGAGGGAACATACGTGATTCTAGGGGCACTGGGGGAGCCAGCCTCATCCCTCATCATCACTCACTCACATCAACGTTGTGGGCCTGCCACATGTTCTTCAGGCCTCCTGGATCCACAGGGTGGACACTCACAGCAAACCGGGGGATACACGGCCTGCAGAGTCAGAGATCTGGGGTATAAGGGCAGTGGAAGCCATGAATGCAGACAGGCTACATTAGGAGGACAGTGTAGTGAGAGAAGAAAGAGCCTAGGACTGATCCTCGGGACGTGTCAGCATGGAGAAAAGCAGGCAGCAGTCAAGAGGCAGCAGCAGAGCCCAAGAAGGAATGGCTGGGAAATAGGGATACCAAGTGCGGTGTTTCAGGAGCCAGGGAATAAAGTGTGCCAAAGGGGAGGGATCCTAGGGAGACGAGGAAACGGGGAAAAGTTTGTTGAAATTTACTGATATTTGTAAGTTCCAGTACATTACAGTTTTGATAAAAATACAACCAATGCATTGAATTAAAAAATCAGAAGGAAATAAACCAAAATGCTAATGGCAATTGTTTTGGATGATGGCGGTTGTTATTATTTTCCTTTTCCTTCTTTTTTCCATATAGTCTGATATGTACTTCTATTACTTTAGTCATTGAAAAAGGATATTTAATAACAAAAAGTATGTAAATGTGAATACCTCAAATAGATGTCAGAGAAAGGCTATGTACATGGGCCTGATAGGAGACCCACAAAAAAGCAAACTTAACTGTTGAACTTCATGGCAGGATTTGGCCTGATTTATTTTTGTTTCTGAAAGTATTTTCTTAATGTTCTTTTAGTTGAACATTGCTAATAAATAACAATAGTGACCAGGCAATGTTTCAACATGCCCTAAAGCCTTTAACTGTGCATTTCATAAGGATATAATGCTATGGGTCTAGGTGTCAGAAACCGAAAGCACGGCACTGGGTCTTCCTTGTGTCCTGTGGTTGATCACATTTCCGTTCACCAATACTCAGTGCCCTATCCTACAGGAGAAATGCACTTCCTTGAATCCCAGACATCAGCCTTGGCCATGCGACTCATTTGGCTACCAAAATGTGAACAGAAGTGACAAGTGCCACTTTAAGAGCCAACATATGCTTCACCATGCTTGCTTCTCCTCCTAACATTGCTATGCACAAGGGTCTAGACTGTCAGCTCCTCTAAGAAACCGGGTCCCAGGGTTTGGGGCCATAAGTGGAAAAAACTCTCAGCCAACCTAGGATGAACATGTTTACAAGCAAGAAATAATCCTTTGGTGTTTAAAATGATTGAGCTTTGGGGGTACTGTTTGTTATTGTACCTATTGTGGCAGATACAATCTTCTGGAATATGAAATAAAAATCCATGATCAGCAATACCAATACTTTCTCAAGAAACCTAATCCTTAAGTCTTATTTTCTTCTCTAGATGATGCGTATTTACTACAGGGACTTAATATAGAGGAACTGTATCCAGAAACCTCTAGTTTCATTACTTATGACGGGTCGATGACTATCCCTCCCTGCTATGAGACGGCAAGTTGGATAATAATGAACAAACCTGTCTATATAACCAGGATGCAGGTGAGTGTCTCTGTGGTCTGTTAGCTAATGGGGAAGAGGATGTGATGACTGGCTGGGTGTGTGGTGTGCCTCTTGTATTCATTTGTGAAGACTGTTTTAACCAAGTACTACAAATTAGATGGCTTAAACAACAGAAGTATGTTGTGTCCCAGTTCTGGAGGCTCTAAGTCCAAGATCAAGCTGTTGCTTCCTTCTGAGGGACATGAGGACGAATCTCTTCCATACCTCTCCCCTGGCTTCTAACAGTTTGCTGGCAGACTTTGGTGTCCCTTGGCTTCTGGAACCATCCCCCCACTCTGCCTTCATCTTTAGGTGGCATTGTCCCTGTATGTGTCTCTTTGTCCAAATCCCCCTTTTCACAAGATACTAATCAGATTAGATCCTGCATCAATAACCTCATCTTGTTTAATTACATCTGTAATGACCCTATTTCCAAATAAGGTCACATTCTGAGATGCTAGAAGTTAAGCCTTCAATTTATGGATTTGGGGAGCACACAATTCAACTCATCACACCAATGTTTAAAGAACCAGCATCCGAAAAGTCTTACCATGAATTCATGTAGAAACATCCTACCTGTCTGAATGAGAAAAGACAGCAAGGTTAGTTCCCAAAGTGTCCTCTACAGCTATGGTGTTCAAAAAGCAAATGAGCAAAATAAATGACATATTCATATACACTTGAAAAGGCTAGATCTCTTAAAAGTTAAAAAGATTTCATTAGCAGCAGACTTTTCAGGATCTTTAAAATGATACAACATGAGTCAGTGGCCAAGAGGAGGCAATATGATGCTTAGCATTTCAAAAACATATTTGAATTTGAGTAGAGAATTTGTTTAGACCATCTCATGGGGCTAGGATTCCTCAGAACTAGATGAGAACCACATCTGGCCTCTTGGTGCCGGCTTTGCTTAATAGCCTGTTGTGCACTTCGAGGCCTGTCACCCACTCTTATGAAATGAATACTCCTCTTCTTTATAATGAGGACAGTAAATTGCATGAGTCTGATCCAGTTCTGACATTCTATGACCATGAGAGTCTGTAAGAACTCAAAGGAAAGATGAGCAAAGGAAGCCGATCCAATCTCCTTGACAGGATGTGTACTCGGACCCAACAGTTTGAAGTCTGTTCCTATCTGTACTGATTAGGATTCTTTCGGTCATGAGCAACCCCTTCTGGATAGCTAACACTTAGAAAAAGGATTTAGACAAGAGATAGTGGGGCATCTTCTGGAATTTAAGATCTGAAATTGATCTTCTTGATGTCAGGAATTCCCCCTTCTCTCTGCTCTCTTCTTCTCCTTGCACATTTGCTGCGTCCTTGTCTCCCATGGAGGTTCTTCCTTCGCTTCACAGTCCTGGGGTGGAACGTGACTGCACGTGTTGTAGTTCAGCCACCTGGTGCTGATATGCACAGAAAAACAGCCAAAATGATCAGCTTGGTTTGGGTCTGACCCCTGGGCCAGTCACTACAGTTTGGATAATACCCATGTTGTGGAATAACTCCCTGAATTATTGGAAATTACTGAATTATGGGATTTCAGAGAAAAAAGGGACCCTGAAGAACATCTAGATGGATTTCCTCCTTGACTGACTTGAGACGTATTTGAGAACAAGAGAATAGATGACATACACAAGCTAATGGGGTAGAAGCAAGGCCCCCTCCTTGCATCAGTTGGCCTCCAGCACAACTGAACCCATGCAACAGGGGCTCTTTCTCCAGCTCCTCCCCTGACAGCTGGTAGTGCCTGCTTGACCACCATCTACACCACGGTACTTCCTCCCTAGTGCATGTAAGAGGATGGGTGGATCCCACAGCTGTTTCTCTCTCCTCAGATGCATTCCTTACGCCTGCTCAGCCAGAATCAGCCATCTCAGATCTTCCTGAGCATGAGTGACAACTTCAGGCCTGTCCAGCCACTCAACAACCGCTGTATCCGTACCAACATCAACTTCAGTTTACAGGGGAAGGACTGTCCAAACAACCGGGCCCAGAAGCTTCAGTACAGAGGTGGGTGCAGTGGTTCAGAGGCTGAGCCCCAGGCTGGAGCTCAGTCTTCCTGCTTAGACCTGTTCTTACAGGCCTGGTGCTATTTCCCAATATAAGAATCATGATTATAAATGACAATAATAAGACCACCATCTTCCACTTGCATGGCGCTTTCTGCTGGGAAAGTCTTTATATCATAGACAGAGACAGACTAGACAGAGAGATGATAGAGATAAAGCTCAAACCTTTAAATTCCTTCTCTTTCAGGCAAGATGGACTTCTTATAGCCATTATATAGAAGAGCCCAGAGAGGCTGATTTCCCCAAAGTTATCTGTTAGAACAGGACAGTTAGAAGCATCAGAGCTCTTAGTTACACAACGGGTGTGCAAACACCTACCCCCACCCTCAGAAAGTAAGCAAATACTCTGGATACCAGGCCACTGGGAACCAATGAGGTAACATGTGTGAACGAATCTCTTTTCAGCTCTATGTCCCTAGAAGTGACTAATGCACACTAGTACACACCAGCCCTTTCTCTTCCCTCCTGCACACTAAGTATCTGTTGTCGTCATGGTGCACCCTCAGCCTGGAAAAGAAGGGGGATGCAGGACAGTGCTGTGGAGATGCACTCATAAAGCTGTCAGGACACTGAGTCCAGGCCCGGTTCCACCCTTAACAAGCCATGCAAACCCAGCCAAGTCATTCCCCCTGGGGACCTGGCTCCTTTCATGACACTCCCTACCCTATCTTCTTCTACTTTGTCGTGCGGAGCAAGTAGGAGACTGGACAGGAAGCCCTTCGTACAATGAGGTGCTGCCCCAAATACGAGGTCTGTGGATGTTACCAGGCAGCTTTTAGGAGCAGCTACACTGCTGCCTTGTGGGCCCCTGCTTCATCTCTCCTACTTCCCCCACACTTCCTTCTTTCTTTTTTTCTCTCTCAGTCACATGCAGAGGACCAAAACTATCATTTTCTATTCCCTTCCAGCCAGAACTACCGGACAAATAAATACTCAACTCACACACTGTGGCTTCTTTATTTGACACCTATTTATCGTACACCTACTATGTGTCAGGCACTTAGATAGGTGATGAGAACACAGTGATAAAGACAGATATGAGTCCATCTGTACACAGCTTACCATCTAGAGCAGGGGTCAGCAAACTTTTTCTATAAAGGACCACATGGTAAATATTTTAGCCTTTTGTGAGCCATACAATCTCTGCCACACTTGCTGTTGTTGTATGAAAACAGCGATGGACAATACATAAATGAATGGGTGTGGCTGGCTCCAATAAAACTTTATTTACAAAAATAGATCACGGGCTGGATTTGACCTGTGGGCTGTCATTTGCCCACCCCTGGTCTGGAGTGATGCCATCCACTAGAATGTTCTGTGACTATGGAAATGCTCTATATCAATACTGTCCAATATAGTGGCTACTAGCCACATGTGGCTATTGAACACCAGAAATATCTTGTATGAAGATGCAACTACACTTTTTACTTTATTTTAATTAATTTAAATTTATGGTAGCCACATGTGACTGATGACAAGCATATTAGACAGCTCGGGTCTAGAGATTCCTGCGGAAGTGGAGAGGATAGTTGGGATGTATACAAGTAAGCAGGTGTTTATAGAGCTCTTCCTTCTCTGGTGTATGCCCCCAAACTGTGTAAATTAACTCAATTATGCCTTGTTCTGTGTTGTTTGTATGTTTGTTTATATTTTTCTTTCTCTTTCCAGTAAATGAATGGCTCCTCAAGTAGGGAACTAGGCCAAGAAGAATCCCACCTCAGTGAAATGCTACAACTGTGAATTGACATAACCTAGAATGTCCCCTTCTTTCTTCTCTCTCCTTCCCTCCCTCAAGCCTCATTCACTCTTCCAATTGGCCCCTTTCTTCATGAAAGTGTCTGCAAAACCGTGGCAGAGAAACACATCTCTCGCACACACTCAACTCACACACACACACACACACACACACACACACACACAAGCACACATACACACAACATGTCTACGCACGTACACACTCAACATGGCCTCCAAGATGGAAAGTCAAGTCTCAGAAACAAAAGGCTTACTCCTAAAAGGTCTTAGAGGAAAATAACCAGTTAACCTGATTACAATTTTGATACTGTTCTCCTGAACTAATAAATCTCCCCAGTGAGATTTTCAGCCTTTGTACATACAAAATTCTTCCAAAAGAGAGAGAGAAGAGAAACACAGCTCTGACGACATCAAGCAGACTTCATTCTTGGCACCAAGCAATCCCAGACATTGTCCTAGGATCCTCTGAGGCTGCCGGTGACAGGTGAAACAGGACAAAGTTGGCCAAGGACCCTTATTTCTAGATGATGATTCTTCTGTTTACTCAAAAATTTAAAAAGGAAAGGACAGACATTGAAGAGATACACATTGTATATACATCACCGCAGACTATAAAAAAATGGAATTATTTCCCCTCTTTGTCACATATCTGTAGTAGGATTCGCCAAGACCAGAATTGATCCATTTGCCATTTCTTGTTTTCCGAAGGTCATACATTGTGTTTGGTTATTAGTTAACAGCTCAATAAATGTGTTTAATGAGTTAATTTCATTTTTCTGGCTTTGGTCTGTTCTTCCTTACAGGCTAACCCCTGGCTCCATGCCACTGCATTCTTTGATTTCACTTGTTCCTGCATCTACATGTTTTGCTCATTTGCAGCCAGTCTTTACTGAGTTTGTGGCAATCAGGAATGCATTTGCTAAGCAAGTAGAACTTTAATTCCACCCCATGGCTCTATCATTCATACAAGGTGAGCTTCAGCCTGAGATAGCAGGCCACAGATTTCTTGCATTTCAAAACTGCCATTCCCCCCACACCATGATGCTCCCTTGAAGGAATGCACTTTGCCTTGTAAGTTCCTGGGAAGGGGTGTCTTTTCTCTCCAGGTGCAGCCGGATCTCACGAAGTACAAACGAATGCCTTTCTTTCCTTGTTTATAATGGTCATTCACTGTGTTTGGTTACTGTCAAGAAATCAATAAATGTGTTTAACAAGTTACCCAGTACCCGTGTCTGAGTTAATTGAGGATGAGGAGGATGCTCCTCGCAGAAGCCTGAGTCCTGCTTTGTCCACTAGCGATTGCCTTCCGACAGGCCGAGCAGCCCACCTGGCCATTCCCAGAGCCAGTGATTAATGCCCTGCTGAGAAAGTACATATAGGCTTAGCTGCTGGAAGGGAAGACTGGATGTTTGTATGGTGATCAAATTAAAAATAACTTTTGTCTCTCCTTTCTGTCACAGTCCCCAGAAAGAGGGAAAGCACAGGCATGTAGGGAAACTTCATGCACATGTGGAAAACTTCAGCCAAGTGACTACATATATTGATGATGAAAAAGAAAAATCAAACTGCCAGATAGTTCATATTTGAAATAATATACTTAATAGAAAGTTTTTTTTCACTTTTTACACCAGTGTTAGTTAAATGGTGGTCTTAGCAGTGATAACATGAGCCTGTTTCTGAGCAATCCTATTTTTCCAGAAAGCCAAACCTGTTGACAAAGGTGTAGGGTGGACAAGGGGTAGTCAGTCTTGGTGTGGCTTATAGCTTCCTCTCTGAATCAGAACCTTCCTTGGCCTGCAAAGAAAGGCAGCAATACAATATAATGAATAACAAATATTCATGGTAAATCAACCAGACCTGGCTTCAAATCTCCACTCTGCAATTTGTCTGCCTGCTGTGGGATCCTAGGCAAGTTGCTTTACTTCTCTGATCTGTACACTGGGGATGCTAATAACTGCCTCCTTGAGTTGTGAGGCTTAAATGCTATACAGCTACTTAAAGCAGCTAGCACAATACCTGCAATGATTGTCCTATAGATGGTGCCTGTGGAGCATGTGTGTGACTCACCTACAAGGGGTTTATCTGGACTGTGCTATACCTCCCTGCATCAATCACAACAGGGTCATCAAGTTAATATCAAACAAGAATAATAGACACTCAGCAGGCAGCTCATAGGTAAATACCTGAAGTGCGTCAGGGCCAAGTGGAAGGAGTCCTGGTGAGGAAGGAAGGAAGAGGCCAGGTTTATAGGCTCTGTTCTGTTACTATCATCCTCTGTGACTGTGCGCAAGTCAACTCCCTTCCCTGGAACAGTGTCCTTACGTAGAAATAACTAACACAATGACCTCCCGTGGCTCTCCACTCTATCCCTCCCTAACTCTTTCTCTCATTCAGTTCTCAGTCCAGCAAGCAGGGGGAAACCCAAGCTCTCACCCCTGGGGTCCCTGGGCATGTGCAGATTTTCACTCTGGCCAAAGAGAACTTGAAATGAAGTGAACTACCCCATCTCCCATCTCCTGGGCCAATCCCAAATCCCTGCTCCCCACTCACTGGGTTTCCCAAACTATAAAATGGAAATAGGGCACTATACCCTCAAACCATGTAGAAGTAATAAATATTAGCTAGGTTTGTACCACTCTAAAAAGAAATAAGGAAAGAAGGAGCTTCAGAAGTACTAAAAAGTCCTGGAGAAGCCATCGAGGAGCACCAGTACGTTCATGCGTTGAGTCCGCGTGTGCTACGGAAGGTGGCAGCTGGGCTGCTGTGCTCCACACTGTGCGCAGGCCCGTGGTTTGCCTGCAGAGCCCCAGGCTTCCATGGGCATCCCATTCCACCAGGGAAAACTAGAATGTGCAGGGGCATCCGTGCCAAGCCTCAGTTCCCTCCCCAGTGAAATGAGGGAGGGAGGTACATGTACACAGAAAAGAGTTCTGGGTGAATTTCATAAGGAAAAGAGAAGACATTGTGGAGAGCCCCAGTCCCCATGTGGAGGACACCTGTTGTGGTTTCTGAGCCCATTTAGGGCCTTGTTCCCACCTCCCTCCTAGCAGTTTGATTTCCATGGTGATGCCAAAACCACCACAACTCACTGCACTAAATGTGTCTGGAATGTGAGAGTGACCTGGAGTTTGGGCAGGAGAGCAGTTACCTAGCTCACAGCCCGCAGCCACCCACATTAGGCTGAAGGCTCTGATTAAGAGTCATCGGTAAACATATGCCAGCACCCCCAGTGTGGCCCTTACCTGCTGGACCCCAGAGCACTCATAGTTCATGAGTGTCCCGGTTCTCCTGTTCCAGAAGGCCTGGAAGTAGAGCCTGTGGGAGCAGAAACTCACTTTAACATCATTCACCAACTAGCATCATTACACATAAGGGAAGATCTGCCAAAAGCCCAGCCTGGGAAACACAAAGTCCACTGTGGGTGGCATACTTCCTGTGGGCCAAGCCCTGTGCTCAGCAGCTTACAAACACCATCTCGTTTCATCCACACAGAGACCCATGAAGTGATCACCATCGCTGTCCCATATTACAAATGCAGAAAGGGGACTTCTTCAACTGAGCAACTGCTCAGGGCCCCATGGCTCCTAGGCAGGTACAGTGAGTCCGAGCCCTTTTGAGCCTGTGGTTCTCAGTGAGTGGCAGTGACTGTCAGCATTGCTGGGAAACTGGAAAGAAATGCAAATTGTCAGCATTACAGACCTACTGACTCTCTGGGGGCAGAATTCAGCCATCTGTGTGTTTGTAACCAAATCACCAGTTTATTATATAAAGGTATAACTCAGGAACTGCTAGATGGAAGAGACACCTTGGGTCAGCCTTTGTACATACAAAGTTTGCAGGAAAGGGTGAGGTGCTTCCTGCCCTCGTGGAATGCACCACTATCCCCACATTTCCACATAGTCATCAAACAGAAAGCCTAGCCATCTGTGTCTTAAGTTCTCCAGGTGATTCCAATGCACACTCAAGTGTGAGAACTAGTGTAAATCAGGTGCTCACTCCTGCTGCCTCCTGCTTCACAGGTCCCCAAGCTTTGGTGCACATTAGAATCTCCTAGGATGTTTGAGTGCATACCACTGAAGTCAGAATGTCGGAGTAGCAGTGTTTTATAAAAAGCCCAGATGATTCCAACATGCAGCAAAATCAAGAACTACATCCTTGCCTGCAGGATCTTCTCAGAGGAGGGCTCACCTGCAAGGTGGTTTCACGGGCACCCAGAGGTCAGCGTTACCTAACAGATTCCGTACCTAACAAAATCACCCCCTGAACCCTGTGCATAGTAACTTTCTTGGATGGTCTCAGAATGTTCCCTGGCCCCGTTCTCCTTCCCCAAACCTTCAGTTAACAAATTCAGAGTTTGAATCTCCCTCTCTTAAATAAAAGAAGCATTCATATTTGAAGGAATGGCTTGGCACCCGCCTTCCAAAACCCACGCAGGCAGGTGATCACTCCTGATTCCTCAGATGGACACATTTCCAAGACTGCAGACCATTAGGAACAAATGAGAACAAGCTGTGAGTCAGGAGACTAGAAGTTCAGAAAGATAAGCTGGATGCAAAATTAAAAGTCACCGGCAAATTACGAGCCCTGTCAGTTCCAACTTCATGGGGTCTCTTCCATGCAGGACTCCCTCCCCTCAAGTCCCAGCCCTGTGACAAGCCCTAGGCCCTGCCCTCATCATCTCAGCCCAGACTACAGTAATATCCATCCAGCAGGTCCTCCTGCCTCCCGCCCCAAATAAGTGACAGACCCTGGGCTAAGAGCACGACAGTGCCCAAACTCCACCCTCAGATAAGGCGCATTTGAGTCAACACTGAACAGAGGTGGTAGGAAGTTTAGGCTGGACTGGGGAGTGGGTGGAGGAGAATCTGAGACACTTTCCAGCAGAGAGCAAGACGCAAAGCTAAGCAGCAGTCCGCAGGAGCAGCGCTCCAAATCAGTTTGGTAGAGAAACAGATTCCAGGAGCGGTGCCAGAGGACAGAACCTCATGCATACCTGGAATGGAGGTCAGGAAGCAGAACCCAGGGCAATTTGCTAACAGTCTTCATAGGGTGCCTGCCATGGGCCAAGGCAAGGAGGAAGCCTGAGAGCCATGCCCTGACCTGCACATTCCCAACCCATTCCCATCCCATCTCTGGGGTCACTGAACCAAAACCTCCAACCGAAGCAGATCTCCAAGACTCAAATTACCCCTGGTCCCCAGTTGTTTTCAGGTCAAAGGTTCAAATTCCTTAGCAAAGCAGGCAGAGCCTTCCTTAATGGATTCACAGCAGAGCTCTGCAAACTCATGTCTCAGCACCCACCCAGCCTCAGTTCATGTCATCCCTCAGCTTGGGAGGCTCTTGCCGGTTCTTCCTCACCTGTAGAGACACAACACACCCTTAAAGAAACCCAGCCACATTCCATCCCAGCATTCCCATGGAAAATTATTTCCTCCTTGCCCTGAGCTCACACAGCACATTGATTTTATCTCTGCTTAACATTTACTTCATTCAGGTCTATATTAGAAATATAGATAAATATGGAAAATATGTGCATTATATATATAGAACTTCATCTGGCTCTATATTTTCCTCTTTGTACATGCCACTTTGAAGTTCCCTGAAAACAGGGGTTATCTCGTCATTCATTTTTGTGTCTTTCCCTCCTATGCACAGAAAGAAAAAAAGAAAAATCATATAATAATGCTGTGCAAATTGAAGATACTCAAAAAAGTGTGTTGCTATGTAGAACTTTCCTATGAGAGGGAGAATAGTATTTGATTCTTTTCAATTCGGAGTTGGTGAGCAACTTCTGTGTACTAGATATACACCAGCATGGTGCTGGATTCTTTTACATGTATTTTTTCATATACTTTTTTCTTCTATTTGATACTCATAGCATCTCTGCCAAGTAGTTCTGGCTTTATTTTATAGATAAAGAAGTTAATTCAAGAGAGAGAAAGATACCCAAGATTACATACACATTTGCTGAGTATCAGAGCCAGAAGTTATAGCAGAGGCTGATACCAGTGTCACCAAGTCCAGACTTGTACCACTCGCCACACAGTATCCCATAACAGAGAGACAAGGTGTTGGGGCAAGGAGAGAAACTTTATTCAGAAAGCCAGCAGACCAAGAAGTTGGTGGACAAATGTCCTAAAGTACCATCTTCACTCAGGGTTAATGTCAGGTTTCTTTTATGCTAGGGAAAGAAGGGAGTGGAGGCAGTTTAGGAGGTG